ACAAATACACATGTAGCCATCTGTTGCATCGATGCAAGTCGCATACGGTGAACAGTCGTGTGCACTTGTCGCACATTCATTTATCACTGTAAAAGCAAACAACTGCATTAAAAAATGGCACTTTCTAGGATCTTTTTTCTTTTATTGGAAAAAGTGTCTTTAAAATTCGGTACATAAAGATTTAAAACTTACCAATTGATTCACTTTAAAAAGATCTGTAAAATTTCGAAAAATTTTTAAGGGTTTTTTCTTGAAATTAAAAAAGGTCTCAAAAATGGAAGTTTGAGACCCCACTAATTTTGAAAAATTTGTAAATTTTCAGGGAAAAACCAACATTCTTTGCACACCCTTCCTGGTTTTCGTTCCGGATCCGGCGATATATCAATGTATCCAGGACGACACTGACATTTGTATGTGTCAAATGCATTTGCGCAAACGGCATTCTTGTCACAGTCGTTTTCCCCAACACATGCGGCATAGACTGAAAGAAAGAAGACAACTGGAGTTAAAATTTTTGCCTGTGACTCATCCAGAATCTCATATACACGCTTTAAAAAAAACAGATAGTTTTTAGTCTGTGAGATCCTATCGGACTCTGAATAATGTTCTGGCCGAAAATTCATCCAGAATTTTTTACATTTTCTTTTCAAAACTGGCAGCCCCTAGTCTGTAACTCCATTTTGGTTTCTAGATTCATACTCAGTGATTTATCCATAATCTCTTTATATATGCTTCAATAAATGAATGACACTATCAGTTTCAAGACTTCTCACTGTAATCTGAAAGTGATAGAATTCTTCCGAGCATATCTAAAAACGTCAATTGCTTCTGTTCAGACGACTGTTGGGCTGATAAATCTGAACACAAAGTGAAAAAAAAACCTCGTTTTAGCTTCCACTCCACTTTAACATTTCGCCAACAAAATTTGCATACATTAGAAAGTGAGGTGACATTTCGTAAAGGCATCAAATAACTCACATCGGCATGTTCCATCTTTGAAACGGAAAGCATTTTCAGCGCATTCACAGATGAATTGACCACGGGCTTTGCGATCGCTGCACACTTCATTGCTACCACATTTTGGCTTCTTCGGATCGCAGCTATCCAGATTGCTCTGAGCACCAACGATAGTATCGCTCTGCTTCTCTTGTTTTGGCTTACGGCATACACGTCCAGGATAATGAGTGATGTTTGGGGATGCATCCACGAAACCCTGTCGGCATGTGCAAATGTAGCTAAAATTAGGCATTTTTTTCAGAAATGAGCAAACATGCACATTTATTTGGAAAACAGCTGAGCTCATGATTTTTTTGGGAAACAAAAGGGTGTCAAGATCGCCAACAAACTGACTGCAGAAGACAGAGCACTAATAAAAACAACTGGAAAAGTTGTCAGCTGCGTAGCTGGAGAACCAGGCTATGAACCCCAACAGAATAAAGTTTCAAAGTGCTTCCTGTGTATCAAGAACCTTGTTGGTTTATCACGCTTTCCCCAGTGGAAGCTTACACTATTCACCAGAAAGATGTCTGTGAAAGTTAAAAATTGACTATCGATTGACAACTTCTGGTCACCGTATTTTTCCTGAATAAGCTCGGAGTTGCGACAGTTTTTTCGCATCATGGTGAACTTGCGCTTTAGGTTCCTTGAAATCCCACGACATCTACTTGTCTAGGCATAAAAGCCAAAAATCAATCTATACGTATTGCCAAAAAAGATATTAGCGCAGCTGCATCATGCGTTTGAGCCTGGCCTGAAGTGGGCAAAAATCATCTCCTTTACACATACCCTTCCTTGGCATCCTCACAAATGGCGTTCTCGGAGCAATCATTCAGCGCTGAATCCCGACATTCGTTCACCGCTTCAATACAGTGTCGGCCAGGCAGCCGTTCGAATGAGCTCGATATATCTGCGTAGCCCGGACGACACCTACAGATAGACAGTGTTTGAATTTTTAGATTTTTATTGGCACTATTAATATGAATCTGAAATGGCACTATTAATATGAATGATTATACAAAATTTATGGGCCAGAAGCTAAAATTTTACTAAAATTTTAACAAAGAATCCAGATTTTTCTTGGTTTTGCTAATTCGTAACGTAAGTTACTGGATGACGCGAAATAAGCTACTGTATGGACCTATAGGAACTTGTTCTACCAGTTTTCCACAGTGTATTGAAACTTTGATAACAACAAAGAATCCAGGTGCAGCGAAATTTTGTTGAGTCATAATTTTATAATTTTTGGGACCGAGCAGCAAAAGTTATTGCATGAAACTACCAGACTTGTTCTGTTAATTTTTCATGGATTTTTCTCTATGGTAATGTTCGATTCCCTACCTATTGCTAACAAATGAATTTTGGAATTTTAAAAAAACCTTAAAATTTTGAAATAGAAGATTTAATAAATTTTCTTATTCCTTTTCGATGTCATAAAAATCATTTAACAGCAAAATTCTGCTGGCAGATGGCGCCATTTCCATGCCACGAGTCTAGGAGTTCGATTCAACTATTCGTTCATTTGTTTCGATGGAAAATTGGTACTAGCGCATATTATGAAATCAAAATCGCCATCAGTTCGAGCAATGCTCAAAAAAGGAATTCATCGACAGCCTTGTTAGCGATGATTACTGTTGGCCTTATTTGCCACTTGGGTTCTTTTCTAATGTTTCCGCTTCTCACAGAGATCAAATACAGGCTGGGTTTTGACTCTTGAAAGTAAAATTCGTTTTTAGAATTAAGGAAAATATTTCATCCTCAATTCTAGCGGTGAAATTCGAATCACCTGCACGTATAATCTTCTTCAGT